GCGCGCCCAGGTAGGACGGGGCGCTCCGCGCGCGCCTTGGGTGCGGGGCGGGCAGACCGGCCTCTGTCGCTCACGCACAGCACAGACAGAAGCGGAGTTGGAGGAGGAGATGGGGCAGACAGCAGCGAACAGGCTTGGCCGGACAGGAGCCTCTCCACACACCATCAGACCCGCTGTCTCCTCTGTCCTCTCCCTGCACTTATGCTCGGGCTTTCTTGGCCCACCGTTATCCCTGCCGCTCCTTGTGTGTGATTCTCCCCTAAACATCTCGTCACAAGTTTAACCCAGTCCCACCCTGAACCTCAGGTATAACATAAGAAATTCACTAATTTCAGAGAGAGCCACAATAGTCTTGTTTTCCCCTTATTATCAATTACATGATCATCTTATCAGCTACAACGTTTCTAGCAAAGGCCCTTCAAAGTTAGGCTTAATTGGCTGGTTCCTTGTAATGGCCCTTCCATCGGTGTCTTGGGACTGTGGGTCCTTGCTACTGTCTCCATTATCTGCTGTTCGTTAGGATTTGTGCATCTGTGTGCTGGATTTATGGTCTCTCCTGCTTCTTGTCTTTTTTATGTTGACTAGCTCTTAGTTGGAATTGGTTGGAATTTTGTGTTTGACTTGGGACCGTTCTGGCAACAAATAGTATTCCAAAGCTAAGTAGGGAAAAGGGCTATTTCACACGTGGAAAACAGGAAAGCAGAAGTTATGCCCACAGACTGGGTAGCAAAGAAAAACAGATGGAGATCAGTAAGACTTAGGTCTGTGTTTCAACACCCAAGCCTATAGGAAATATTTCCCTTATTCCACAGTCTTCCATCTTTTTCATTCCAATTTCTAATAATTTTCCTTATTTCCCATTGATAATGTCGTTTTCCAGTCATACATCTGGTAACAAAAGACAATCCAGTTCTCTGACTGACCTCACGTTGGACAGCGCTTGGGATCAGCAAAAGACTCACTTATTCCCGAAATCCTCCATGAGGCCCAAGAGCGCCTCGTCTCCCTGGATCCCCTCCGTCACCATCCCGCAGCCCTTCCGAATGACCCTGCGCGAAGCTCGCAGGAGGTCCCAGCTCATGAAGTCACACGTGTTTCTTGACCTAGACAAACAGCAAGACAAAAGGCAAAGCCAGGACGAAGCAGAATGCCAGAAACAATTCCGGGCGCAGCCCGTGCCTGCCCACGTGTTCCTGCCTCTCTACCAGGAGATAATGGAACAAAACGAGATTCGCAGGCAAATAGCAACGCAGAAAAGAAAGGAGTTGTTGCTCTCCAGTCAGCGGCCCTTCAGTTTCCTGGAGAAGGAGGAGAGGAAGAAAGAAGCCATCCGACAGAAGTTCCTGGCAGCAGCAACCCCGAAAGAGAGCTCCAAACAGAAGCAAGTCAGTAGAAAAGTCCCCAAGTCCACATATGACCCACTTGGAGATAAACTCAAAGGTAAAAGCCAGGGCTCCTCCTGTGAGGAGAGGCCTGTGCCTCAGTGCTGGGTTCTCAGATCATGGCCTACGCAGTGATACTCGCAGCATAAAGCCAGTGTCATTATGTCTTCTAGGGGAGCATTTCATACCTCAGTAAAATAGATCTAAAAAAAAAGCATCATTTTTCCAAACAATAGTATATTTTTTTTCTAAAAGCAAAAAATAACAACTGTTTATCTACATTTTTATAAATATTTAGTATAGCACAGGACAGTTTTGCACCATATCTCAGAGATGTTCCTTCTATGAAAAATTTGACACAGAAATTACAAGACAAGATCTATTCTCTACATGCTAGTTACTCCAACATAGACAAACACTGCTGGATACTACATAGGAAAGTCATCATCCATTACAAGTACGTTTGAAGTACAAGTACATTGTGATCCTGTCTGGATCACATTGTCAATGTAGTGACACGAAGCCCCATGTGAAAATTAGACCCTTAATTAGCACAACATTTCTGCAAGACAAGGGCAGAATAACCTGGTACCCATAGAGAACAGGGGTATGTGGAGAATGTCTGTTCAGTGTCTTACCCTAACATGAGGAAGAAACCTTCCTAGGAATTAATGGCTGAGGAAGAGACACTCCAGGTTCTAGGGATTTTTTGGTAGGGATTTGTTTTTCTGCTGAGTGAGGTGGGACAGGGAAAGCGTGGAAAGGGAACTCAAGATGTCTGGTCTCCTATGTTAGCAGCTGCCATAATTTTTTTTAAAAAAAGGGAGGGGGGTGGTTAGAGTTGTGCACTGGCAGTTTCACACCCTTTTACACCACTCATACTCTTCCTCCCATTGCTTTGATTTTTACCCATTAGAAGCTGAACTCCTCAGAGAAATACGCATTCAGATGAGAGCCAAGGACTTGCTAGAAAGCTCCGTAGCTCCCATTGATCCTAGCAACTGTAAGAGGGAACCTCAGTCCCGAACTGCCACTAGAACTAAGCAAGAAAAGCTCAGCTTCTTGCAGGACAAAAGCTTCAGCTTCAAGCCAAGGATTAATCTGACAGTACCCGACTTTGAAGGACTTTACTGGGCCTTTCAGAGGGATGCAATAAGGAGATGTGAAATCAAGGAGGCAACTCGTACTAAGCCTTTTAAACTAAGGACATCCAATCTCCGCTGCAGGCAGAGGCAGGCTAACGAGAAGACCAAGGTGAGACGCCGGGGTGTTTCTGCGGTGCTGTTCTCTCCCATCCAAATGGCAAGTTTATAAATGTATAGCTTTTTTTTTTTTTTAATCAATGGATGATTAATGTTCTTTAGTGGGACCCCTGACCCCTTTTAGGGCAAACCAGTCAAAGAATTTTACACAAAGAAACGAGCTATGGCAACTAAGGCTCAGCCCATCCTTCTGTGTTCCTAATCAAGTCTCCTTGCTTGTTGCATCCATGATCCAATCCCCATGTTAATCCATGCTGCTGGAAGAGAGAAGAATGGGTGGATTGCCCATGTGTCCCAACTGATCTCTTTGGTAGGCAAAGAACAGGAGATTCTGTACTGTGAAAAAATACACTAAATCAAACTCCCTTTCTTTCAGGGTTCGCAGCAACTTTCCAAGGTTTCCGTGCATAAAAGTCATTCTCTGACTGGACTTTCTTCTCTGTCTTCCAATACCCTTCCGGTGCATATTACGGATGCCACAAGAAAACGAGAATCTGCTATTAGGTAAGTAGAAAAGTTTGTCTACACGATCGTACCCCAACTAATAACAAAAGTGGAGGAGGGAAAGAAAAATAAAGCTTTCTCTCATCATGTCAGCTACATTTCCCATATTTTAAATGTGTAATATTTACTGAAAAAAGAGGCATTTCCAGCTTCAGTGACATGCCTTTTCCTGTCGCATTCTTTTGTATTACCATGCTGCGTTTTACACCCACATTTGCTTGTGTCAAACACCTACTAACCCTTTATGAATGTTTCTCGCTATAGCTGAGGATCTTTCCTTGGTGATTCTTGCCCTGCTTCTCAGCTCTTTTTGAGTTGCATAGCTGCCTGTCTGAAGCTGCTTTTCTCCATACCAGATTACAAAAGTGCAATTCCCAGCTAGCACATGGTCCGGCACTCTGAAGTGAACTTGTTATCTCATTACGAATTTTCATCTATTTAGATATTCCCAAGACAAGAAAAAGGAGAGGGACAAAGAAGGAAATAATTGGCTGGAGAAACACAAAAGGAAGTGCCAAGCTATCCATAAGTCAGTGAATAGCCGAGCAAAAGCCCTGGATCCGCATAAAAGTTTGGAGGAAACACACAAAGAGAAGGCAAAACAGAACTGGTGAGTACACATAGGTAATTGCTGCAATAACTGAGGATCATCAGATAATTCTTTAAGAAGTATTTAGCCTAAGAGCCTACTTTCCCAACCTATTTTTTTTGGCTACCATTCACATTTATTGGCATATATTGGCATCCATTTCACATTTATTTGCATTTCTTGTAAGACCAGCATTATTCTTTCAAAATGGAATAGTTTCTTTTAGGTTAGCATTTGTAGAAAATAGTTTTCTACAAGCAAGCCAACTGAAATATGTCATTTGGGAAAACATATATAAGATGAGGTTTTGTAAAAATATGAACACAGGTTCTCTGCTCACCCTCTAATAGTAAAGTTTTACTAGGGGTACCTAACTTGCCAGAAATAGCAGAGTGTTTTGGCCAGCATTCAGAATCAAGACAATTACCAGAGAGGTTGAAAATAGTTAGTGAGAACTCCTGGTTCCTGAGCAGTAAGAGGGAATTCTGTTAGACAGGGAACCTTTCTGTTTCAGGCAAAGTATCACTGAAAGAACAAAGGAATATAGAAAGGAGCTGGAAGAAATGCAGCTGCGAGTCAAGAACAGACCATACCTCTTTGAACAGGTCACCAAGGTAACTGCTCAAGTTCCAGAGTTTCTAGATGATAGGATACATTGTCTTTCACTTAAGACAGGCATTAGAAAAATCTAGTCTCAAGTTAATCTTTGAAAATAAGATACAAATGTTTGTGTAGTCTCTAGATACACTCCAATTAACGCAGGAAAAGCCACTTGAGTGTTTTTAAAACTCCCTCCCATTCCTTGAAAACCACTCAGTTATTTCATGGTTGTAGGGCTTTCCAGTACAATTGCAACTTCCAACTGCAATAAACATAGTGATAAACATATAGGGCCTGACCAAAATTAAGGCTTTATCATTCCAGATATTGTATCAATACCTGATTCTGCCATGAATACAATAGTTTATAGTCTAGACATTTTATTTTTCTTAAACCTTTTCCAGTGAGATTTTTTTCTTTGTATCTCTAGTGCTACTTGAAAACAAGGTCAGTGATAGTTAAGTCACTTTTATCATCTGCAAGCTCTGCAGTCTGTGGTTATGTTCAGCACATCTCATCCGTAACACGGTACCCTTTGCATATCTATATTATCCTAGAAAGGAAGATACAAATCTTACACTGTAGAAAATATTTTTGTCTCAGCATTCCCTTCCAATATATCGCTAGATGCTGATTTAAGATTTCACAAACATTCTCTTAACTAAAGGATGCAGAAAACACACTTGTGTGATAGATTTTTATAATATTTATGTTTGCTCATTTGGTAAAAATTAGCCAGTATCAATACCATTCACTCACCTTGAGACAAGACTTCTATCCATCCATATCCACCTTAATATTTTGGAAAGATTCCAGGCCTCTGGAAAACTGTCAACTGTTTAGACAATGTTTACAAGTCAGTAAAGAACTAAGATGCCTGTTTTTCAGCTTCTGAATATGAGCTGATTTGAAGCTCTTCACAAGCTCAGTTTATGGAGCTCCGCTGGGGTGAGCGCTTACAGGTTGCAGTTGACTGGGCTTCCCAAATTTATCGCAACTCCTTTTTTTTTCCCCACATATTTTCAATTAAGAGTGTCAGAGTCAGGACTCGGGCATGAGTGCGCTAGTCTGTTAAGACTGAGGTGTACTAAAGGCAGGGGAACAGGAGGGAGAGTAAAAGAGCAGAAGCAGAAGGTGAGCTCCTGCTTTGAACAAGCTGTAGAATACAGTTTCCTAGTATTTAATGTTGGTACTGAGCTTTAGGGATGACAGTAATACTGGATAGGGGCTTTGTTGCCCTGTTGTTCTCATGAGGCGTATCAGCCATGAATTGAAAGCTTGACCAGTATGTGGAAGCCCAGTTCTGCATGCTTACTGTTTAAGTTTCAACTTCATAGCATGGTGCTCGTCGAGAAGCAGAGCGTCACTACAGACGCACCCTCCAGCAGGTTGGGCTAACTGAAGAATTCATAAGGAAAAAAGGAGAAGATGCCCCAGGCTTTCTGGAAGAAGATTCTGACATTCACGGGTAATAATATAACCCTTTTGCCTTTGAATATAAGTATTTTCCTTTTTTTTATGAAAGCATGTCAGTTTGTATCACCTAGTGCGGGCAAAATTAAACCAGCTCTGCTCATTTTATTAAGCATTGTGGCTTCTCTGCATTACCTCCTATGAGTGCCAGGCAAGCCTTCTACTTGCGCCCAGGACAAAGCAGGACACACAGACACGCAGAGCAATTCCAGTGCTGAGACTGTTACTGTTTCTGCAGAGTCCCAGAGCGCTCGAGCAAGGAGAACTGCACTGTAGAGGAAGGAGAGCTCCAAGAGGAACAGAGAAGAAAGGAGATGGCAACATAAGACCTAGCAGAAAACTCCACTGCTCATCTCTTGGTTATTTTTTTTTTAATTGAAGGTTCTCAGGTTAATCTTCAGGAACATACTGTTCTAGGATAACATCTAAGAATTGCTCTGTGATGAGAGGCAAGAACTTAACTCCTGCTTAGAGCACTTCCTGCTCAACCCAACCAACATGGCAGCCTCCCTCACAAGTGTTCCTTGTGGGAGCTATTCCCAGTCTTTCAAGAGACTGCTGAAATGAAAGGAAAGTTAAAAACATTCAAGCACTAGCTCTGTATAAAAGTAGATATGAATGACTGAAGAGATGCACCCTTTAGCATTAGCTCCGTGTGGGCATGTACAGAAGCCTAGAAAAAAGGCAGAATTCCTTTCACTGTGCTAAAACCTGGTTTACCCATATATATGTTAGAACAAATGTAAATAAGATATTTATATAGAGTAACAGGATGAGGTTACCTCATAACAAGAGTCAGAGATAAGTTCTTCTCTGGCATGTTACCTATCCACTTACTAAGTAGCAGTTCTGCTCCCTCCTCCTTCTAGGAGGAAGCAATGTTCTTTCTATATTAATACATATCCCATATTCCACTATTTAAAACTCACTTTTAAATCCCTATCATGTTTTTAATTTGACCTGAAAAAACAACAGCAACAACAAAAAACTAGAAAATATGAAGGTATTTGTAATTGAACAGTGTATCAGTTTGGATTGTTATTGTCTTAATTCTTAGTACTAGTCTAGCAAAGATGCACTTTGGTGGAAGCAAGATTAAGCAGTACCTGTCACAATGTTGCACTCTGATGCCTGGGTCACCTTAAACGGTATAGCTCATATTAAGAGATCATCCGTTACCTGGTACCTAGTAATAAGATTCCCAAAATACAAACCCCCACTACTGGGATGTTTTCTGTGTATTGTGATATCAAAGCATTTTGAGATTAAAAGATTTTTAAATGGCTATTTGATGTTTCTGTGCTGTCCATTTTCTTTTCACTATCAAACTATCAATTAAATTGTGCTTTAAACTTCTGGTTGGTATTCCTGCAGTTGAAAGAAAGCAGAGCCAAAGCTGAGGCAGAACCTGAATTTATCTGCACTACAAAGTGTTTGGGAAGAGCTTTTAAGGTTTGTAATTCAGGTTCTGAATTACAGCAAGGAGCCTCTTTAAGACTATTTCTGTGAAAGCATTGGAAACTAGTTTTGATCTGGTGAGATTGCTGCCTCTTGAGATTTCCAAAACCAGTTTTGTTGTGCTAACTATGTTACTGAATACAAATGATGTTTTAACTAGGCCTTATGACTACCTACTGTGTCCAAAACAATCCAAGATCATCTTACCTCCTACTGGCATGTTAATCTCTTCTATTGTTACCTCTCCTCTCTGTCTCATCTTCTATAAAGATTCCAAAAGAAAACCCAGCTAGGGTCTATTTAATCTGGCAGTGGCTTTTGCCAAAATCTATAAGGCACATCAAAGACAATACTTAGTAGCTTAACAAAACTGCTGCAGAGATCCCATCATAAGCTGCTGATACCACAATAAATTAGTTTAAACACAACTTAAACTCATTTTTCCCGTCTTTAAAGTTGTCCCTTTTTGGACTTTAAATCGACATCTACAAACTGCAAGATCTCCCTTCAGCACCTCACTGTTAAGGGCTGATCAAGTATGAGCTGGTGGCAAAACCCCATCAGGTCCCAATTCACAGGCATGTGGTTGAGCTGCTGTCAGAACCTCCAAATTACCTTTACCAAGAGCAGCACCTTTATGTTCAGCTGGGCATCAGTATAAACTCAAAGCATCCTCTTCTCATAGGAGCCAGTGTAGGTGCACAGGATTCTAACAAGATTTTGCTTTCTTAATAATGCTAATTCTGAAGAAAGCCTTCAAGTTCAGAGAAATCCAAAACATCTATTAGTAGCACAATTTGAAGAAAGTGATTCAGCAAACAGATCTGGGGGAAGAGTGACTGAGGACAGCAGGGGAAAAAAAACACAGCAAAAGTAATTAAATGATATTGAGTAGTACATTTATTTCAGATACTAAATCAGCTTCTGACAGTGAGATGTATTAGAATATAGTCTCTGAAGGTAAAGGTTGAGAGGCCTGTTACTCGAGATACTCAGTGTTTGTACAGTGCCCAGCACAATGAGGTCCTGGTCCTTAGCTGGGGCTCCTACCTGCCCCAGCAACACAAACGCTGTAGGCCGAAAAAGAATGGATTGCAGTAACAGTTTTGAAATGGGGCTCCACAACATGGGCTAAATGACACCTAAGCAGCAGACTTCACCCTGAAGCTCTGTGAGAGAGAAACTTGGTCCAGGAGGTCTTCTCCAACTCCAGTTTTATGATTCACTCTTCATTTACCCACCCCCGCTGCGCACAGTAAAAGCAACGTTCACTCATCCCACCGCAACATGAGGAGCCTCTAGCAGGAATAATCCATCCCACTTCAGTCACCACATATAAGAGGGCGGAAAAAAGAGCAGCTGGTCTCACCCTCCTCCACTCCAATAATGGACTCAGTATCTGGCAAGTGCAGAGACTCAACCCCGAGGCTAGGCTGAGAGTTCATGGAGATGAGATTCTTACTGTGCACTGTAGATTCTTCCAGCAAACTGCTCCCCATCAGTGACTCTATTGTGAAAATAGGGTAAAATAAAATTTTTATCATGTAACAATATTGCATCATCACTACAATCCCTGATGTTTGCCCTTTCAAGTCACTTGGACTTCTTCCCTAAGCACCTTCTTTATCTGCTCCTACTCTTGGGGTATCAGACACCTCAACAGGTGGTAACTCTGTATTGATTTTTTTAAACCTTAGCATGGCAGAATTTCATGCAGGCTTGGCCTTCCCTTTCAACAACTCACACAGCATAAAAAACAGGCTTCTTAAAAGAATATATTATGAAGGGCACAAATTCTATGTAAAGATATCAGATAGCAATAATTTTTGAAAACAATACACCTGCCTTTGACAATATACAGGAAAAATAGCATTGTTTTCCGTCTTAGACAAGGGGAGAGTATCTCTCCCTGCTAGCAATCCATTCCTATCTCCAAGAGGAAAAACGCATTACTCCCTACTAGCTTATACTCTCTTTTTTTCTGGACGGAGGTCTTCTTTCTGACTACCCATCAGTTCCCTGCTGCACTTCTTCCCACTACAGAAGGGACCTTCTCACCCTTACCTGGCTGTTCTCGCTCTCTGCTGCCAGCTGTCCCAATTCGGGAGTGGTGTTTCCTCATGTGCACGTTTCTGCTGCCACTCTGGGAAAACGTCTTCCCACAAATTTGGCACTGATGGGGCTTCACTCCTTGGAGGGAGAAAAAAAATCTCAAGCATTACCAATTTGGCAATAAAGTCTCATCAATACAGAAGTCAATAATAAAATGACTATAATAATAATATATAAATAATAATGAATAATAAAATAACAAAGATGGTTTTGAAATGGCCACTGACACTGTTGGTGCTAATTATCACTGAAAAATCAGCTGAGAACTATTCTTGTTTCACAGAGAGCAATAAGCTTCCAGAACAGAATATTTTCAGATACCAATATTACCAACTGTTGGAAATCTCAAGGTTGACGAGTAACAAAGTCTGTAAATATGATTTATGAAAGGGAATGAGCTATTTGGAATCTCTTATTCAGGAAACATGGTAAAAATTGAGGTCTCACACCTAAAACAGAAACCAGCTACAACCAAGGAAGCAGAGGGGAGCACCTCCTCCTGTCACAGGCACACAAAGCAGCTCCATGTTTATGTTACTAGGTAGAGACTGAACCATGAGTTGTCACTGTAAATAGATTCACTTTACAGAGCAGTGTATCCTTTTCCCAATACAACCAAGGACACTGCCTGTAAATGCAAGCTTATGTCACAGAAGCCAAAAAGGCAGGAAAGAAAAGGCATGGAGAACTCAGGTTGTCCCAACAGTTGCTATCCATGCCCATTTCCCTCCACCCTCCCAACAAAGCACACTTATGATGTGCTGATGACAATTAAGATAAATCAATCAAAATGTAAAGCAGAAACTTTGGAACAGATTTCACACTTGTGAAATTCCCATCTAATATTTTGGCCTATTTTATATATATTTCATATATAATGAAATTTCTGTCTGTGGCACAAACTCACTCATGAGAGATTTCAACATGAATAGTTGAAAGTAAAAAAAGTGTTAGATTCAGTCTTCTAAATAAAAAGAAAAAAATAGCAGTTATTAAACAGGTGTACAGCTTCTGGACATTTTAGAAACATTCTATATTTAATAAGATAAAATCACTATGGTTGGAATTTAGAATCATGAAATGTAGAACAATGTTTGAGGAAAAAGGCTACAGAAAGACTAGCAAAGATTAAAAATTACAGGCCACAGGTACCATAGAGGAAACGGTGAAACAATACAACCAGAAGTTCTGTAGAAAATGGGTATCGTTGTTTTTTTTTTTTTTTTAAATCGAAAGCCCTACAGTAAAGCCCTCTTCTCAGATAGGTCTTAGCAGGTCATATGAAGGCTCCTACCTGAGTGGACAACCAAATGTTTTCGAAGGCTGGAGTATTCAGCAAAGGAGCGACCACATCCCTGTGCCTCACACAGAAATGGTTTCTCCCCTACAAGACAAAAATAAATTCTTAGACTTTTGGATCTTAGGTTGG